GTGTTTATACATATAATTGGGCCAAATTGAGCATGTAGACTCTATTGCCCTTTCGACACTAGAGGTTCCTCTGGACGTCCCTTTTATTGCTCATACGCCAGGTACTAATGGTTCTGCTGATGTCCCACATTTTGCATAATAGTTTTGTAATTGTGTAAAATATGTTGCTAAACATTACCACAGAGGCCTAATGACTATTACTGAAGGGGCATTCCAGTCACTACTGTGAGACTGTTTACGATGGAAATCTTTGTTTAAAATGTAAATATGAGCTTTGGACTGTAAATGGTGGCAAGATAGTATAAAGAAAATCTACTTTTTGATACATATACAGACTTGGACTGGCACAAAGGCCACATGAGCTCTACATAAGAAGACTGAAATACTAAGTGAGCGAATGTGTAAAGGAAGAAGCTGGTTGGCACATTCTCTAGAAGTACTGGTAAAGACAGGACTCAAGTGCCTTTGACCATTGTGGCCTCTTTGATTCCTCACAGGTACGACATGTTGGAGAAAACTAGTCAGACATGGACACTCTGACAGATGGATAAACTCAGTATGAAGCCCAAAGTATACTTCAGTTCACGAACACTTGGTGTATGAGTACAGCCAAATGCATAGCTCTTCAAAGTATACTCCACTTAATAGTGCACAAAAACACAGGCGGCCGGCACATGCGCACTAGAAAGTTTCATCTTTGTCGATGTCTGCGCTATTCCGCTACAGAAGTTATGAGCAATAAAAAAAGAAGTCTTTGTACTCTTTTAAACTAGCAGGCATCTATTCTTGTTGCGCCTCCAGTAGATTGCCGTTCCATCTCGTTTCTTTTTCTACCGTGAAACAACCAATGTCGCCACCTTGTGGACCAACTAATTAGTGCAAAGAAGCTGTTTGCACAAGCTGAGGGTAAAGAGTACATGCATATACATTGGGCTTAAGAGAAAGAGTGCTCTCAGTAAAACGCATCGCTAACTGTCATAATGGCAAATTACATAACAGTATTTTGAAGCCTTGTCAATTATCTCTAGGTCTAGACAGGAGCCTTTGAGTCATTATATTCATTCAAAGTTTTAGTGTTTGTTTTCTGATTATTTGACTAGTCTGCTTTCAGACAGATACGTTAAAGGGTAACGGCACTGAGTGTTTTTTTGTATGGTTTCTTTTAGTCTACGCTGCGCTACATAACCCAAGCTAGCATGCATATGCATTGCACTGACAACAGCACTGAGCTGAGGAGAAGTGATGAATTTTATTAAAGGCTCCATATAGTATGAAAGGTACATACAGTGCAGGTATTTTATTTTTTTGGTTTTAAGTCCTCTGTTATTTCAACACTTTGTCTACATTGTGCCGAACTCATTTTATCATTTAAGTGTTATCAAGGGCTGCGGTTCGAATGCAACCCTTTAAAAATCCCAGTGTTTCCACTTTCTGTGGCATACCAAAGACAACCGGCACTGAGACGAGTCCACACTTGATATTTGCTAGACACAACGTCATGTGCTTCCATATTGCTGTGATAAAGAATGTTACGATGTTCTTTTTATAATTTCCTCTTTTTTTTTTTTAAGAAAAAAAAAACATTTTGTGGTTTTTGCATTTCTGTGTGTTTTTATATCTGTCACAGTTCACTCAAACCTTTTTGCTGGCAAAAGTTCATAAAGTAGTAACAGATTTATGATATTAGCATTTATCCTCATCTATTTACAAGGAAAGTAAGTGATATTTTTGCGTACCGTTTTCTAAATTTTTGTACAAAGGTACTATATTATACCAGTTTATAAATAAACAGAGCCTGTGATGGAAGAAAATTATGTGTTGTATTATGTTTCTTTGTGCATATCCATGTTACGGAGTTACTATTATAGCTTTGTTAATATTTTGAATTAGTTTTTACTTTTTATATTACCTGTTTTTATTTTTATTTTAGTTAGTTTTATTAATTTTGTTGCTGTTATTTAAAATTGAAAATCATTAAACAAAAATAAATGATGTTTATTTTGTGATGCATATAAATTCTGAAACTCCAATCAATGCAAACCCTTTCTGCCACATGCACTCAATTCTCATTGACCAAATGCATAGGAAACATACTAGTCGTTCTATAACTAACATCTGCAGAACGTAGCATTCAGTTGATTTCTAAAGAGAGAGTGCAGAAGTTTAACAGCACTCTGAACTACAGCCTGACTTAAGCCACAATCTACTGAGCTGAGGTTGCTGATACAAATGGAAATGGCAAAATAAGCGCTGAGGTTTTCACATGCAAAGAAGTGAAACCAGCATAATGACTTTTCTTTTCTTGGTTCGCCATTCAAGTCGAGGTTTTTTTATTCTCTTTGTCACAAAGGTTGGCATATAATTAACTCCTGTTTAATATGCTGTTAAGGAAGACTCCTCCCTTTGCTCCCACTCTGGACCCCTGCCAAACTCGTGCTCACCCTTGGAAACCCCACAGGACACCCCACCCTAGGGCGAGGGACGGAGGTGTTCGGGACCATTTGGCGCGCAGATTCTTGCACTTACTGGCTGTTTTAGACTCATTGCACACAGCAAACTGCACTCGTTGTCTGCACCTAAAAAGACAACGGTACCTCGTTTATAATGTTCATGTAAAAACACTTTCTTGCTATCATCTGCAGGGGCAGAGGTGAAGTGGTGAATGAGGCTTTTCTTTGTGTCCACCTTTACTCCTCTCATCCAAGATCCACAGCAGGGTGTAGGTTTATGACCCATTCCATCTCCTTTCCTCTCATGGACAAAAGGACTGTGACCTCTCATCCCTTCTCCTTTTCTTTGGCTTTCTCCACCTGAAACCCTCTATTTTATGCCCCTGAAAAGACAAATGTCCATTAGAAACAACAAACACAAGCTTAGCATTTTGCCTTTTAAATGCACAGGATTCAACCTCTCATCCCTTCTTTGCTTTCTCCACCTGAAACCTTCTATTTTATGTCCCTAAAAAGACAAATGCTTTGCATTTTGCCTTTAAAATGCACAGGATTGACTACTAAAAACTACCATGGTTCATACTTTGTTAGTACCTTGGAGTACTATGTAAATACCATTGTAATCATTCTGTTCCTCGATGGAAATTAAAGTACTATAGTAGCCTATTACCTTCTGATAACATTACTGTACTGTGGTAACAATGCAGTATTTTTATAAGGTTGTATAGCCTACACAAACATTTGGCAGACTAACTGTAAAACAACAAACACAGCTTAGCATTTTGCTAAATGCCTTTAAAATGCACAGAATTCGCTATTAAAAAAGTAACATGCTAATACATTGTGTAGCCGTATACACTGTAAAAAACGGTAGCTAATCATTCTGTTTCTCAATGGAAATACAAATACTTTTGATTAAATCACTGTAATGTGGTACCAACAGTATTTTTGTTCGATTGTACACACGACACATTAAAATAACTGCAAAAACCGGGTATAAAAGAAAGTAGCCTACAAGTCTTAGCATAATTTACGACGTTTATGCTAAGCAAAATATCCAAGTAAACTATACAAACCATTTTTCTTTGAAATCTCGGTCATCCTCTGGTAATATTTAGTGTTGTGGGTTTTCTTGTAATGTCTGTAAGATATAAATATATATATTTTCCAGACAAAAAGGAGAAATCCGCCCGCTGTTGTAAAAACAACAATTAAGATAAAGTTACTTTCCCCTCAGAATCCGTTGCCGCGCTTTTTTTTTCTGGCGCGAGACAAGACATAATCAAGACAACATGAATATAATCGACATTAATATTAATAATAATAATAATTAACAAGAGGAAGATTGCCATTCAATACAAAGCAGAATTACTTAAGCATTAACATAATTTAAAGGGGAAAATGTAATTTATTTGGGAGCGCTTAGGGATCAAGGTCCACCCTACCTCGCGCGCCTCGGGAAGCGTTCAGGTGGGGGTTGGTGCGCGTGAATGCCAAGGTAGGGGTCCTGGAACGGTGTGTTTGAGTTTTTCTCATGTTTTTCTTTTTCAGTTGCTAAACAGATTACCGTTCAATTACTCGCACAACAGAGGTGACAATACAATACTTCCTACAGCGATCAACAGGAGAAGGGGCTGATGGGGGGGCGGGAACAGGTGCGATTCGCTCACAATAAAACGCGTATACCTGCGCATTAAAAGACCGTTTGCAACTTTAAGCGCTAAAATGAAGGAAATATTCGAAAAGTGGAAAATAACGTGCCTCACTGGTGTTTATCGGTTAAGTGTAGGGAGGGCTTTAACTGTCCAAAGCGGCATGCATTTAATAATTTTAATAACAATTATAATTTACACATTTAATGCGTTATTATTGCATAATGTTTTATAATGTACTACAATAGTGAGGTGCAGATATCTGGCACTATTTGCACCAAGTAACAGCATCTAACTACTATTATTGCAAAGAAAATACTACTATTTTTACATAGTGTAGGACTAAATAGAATCCATTGCTATTTGCACTTATAGTGTAAATAGCATCTATCAATATTTGCACTTAGTGCAAATAGCCGCTGCCTTTTTTTAATGGTAAATATTCGCTTACGTTTACATTATATATATAGCGATCACAAATTTTAACTTTCAGCATTTTTGCAAACTTAAAATTTGAGTAGCTATTAACGTCTGACGCTTCTTAGATACAAAAACAAGCATTAAACTGCATGCATATATAATTTGATCACATTTTTCGCATGCACACTAGAGTAGATAAATCCTATTATGAACGCATAGCCTACCTATAATATGGCAAGTAGCCTAAGCATAGGCAACATTGGCTATATAAGCTACATTATAGGCTACGTAACGTAACGTGTTTATGACCCCAAAAAATAGAAATGAGAATATTTTTTTTCTTTAATAAAAATGTAACGCAAATTCTCCTTTCTTAGACTGACACACCAGACCTGCCTCCGATGACATCACCAGAGCCGCTGCTGAACGCGACGCGGGGTTGAGCGACGCTGCAGTCACGCGCTGTAGGGCGCGAGCGATGCGGAGCGACGCTTCAGTCATTCACCCGCACGATCCGTCCGCGCGCTCACCGGGCAACCACGGCCAAGGCATGGCAGAGAGGAGCCGAGGAAAGCGGAGGAAACAGGCGAACCCGCGGAGAAACCAAGGTTAGTGGCGAACCGAGCAGCTGCCTTGAGAAGTTTCTAAAAGTTGCCCGGGTTTATTTCAGCGCTCATTCATTCCTCTAGAAAAACTGGATTAGCGCGACGTTTACAACCGTAGCTGGACAGCAGCACTTCCTAAACTATTAAACAGGCCTATCCCATGCTTATCCGGCACTTGCATTACTTTAATACATTCGTGCATTGACTGACTGTCAGCTTTAAAGTTTGCAGAACTTGCGGTCCGCTTTGCATCATTTCTGCAGTCCTCAGCATCACATTTTCATTGAGTTTTACAACATTCAGCTGCACTGCATTTGTTGTACATTCCTCACATCCTCGTGACTTATTACTGATGAACAGAAAATTGTTTCGATTCGCATTTGTCAATTAAATAAATAAAAAAATCGTTTAATTAAGAAGAACAGTGATTTCGTTTTACTTTAATATTATAGATTAAGCTTTCTTTAAAATGATTGTTCGTATAATTGTTGCTAACTTGATTATTATAATAAATGCAATTATATAATTATCACAAATCAAAACTACTATGGTACTTATTCTGAAATTGTTGTAAAGTGTAGTGCAATCAATAATTAAAATGCTTATTTAAATTAAATTTATATTTAACTTTATATACTTTATAATTTGAAATTGCAAATCAGAAAGCCTGCAGCCCGTCGATTATGAGATTTCTCAGTAAATAAGACTAAATGAACTCATTGGTTTTCTTGAAGAAAAGTCGCTGTTTGGGCCTACAAGAGTTACATCTCAAGCTCTGAACATCTTCACATGGTCTCGGATATTCACTTGCAGGTTTTATATGTATATCCCACAAACTTCACACTCAACAAACGAATTAGTTTCACATTTCACATTTGTTTCTAGATTGTGTGTTGATACCCATGAACGCAAGACAAGCTCAAAGCCGAGACAATCGTTCCCGGCGCTTATTGCATGTTCCAGAGATCCGATACGTTAGTGGTTTAGAAGAAGTGTGAAAGTGCTTTGCTGGACCATCTGAGTGATTGTGTTTCTTAACAGCTGTATAGCGTTATACATGACTGAAGGCGTTTTGTTTGACATGCATGCAGGACGGTGTGTGTGTGTGTGTGTGTGTGTGTGTGTGTGTGTTTAGACAGCTTCCTCATTTGGATTTGGCATAAGTGTCATTTTTGTCGACCTCGCACCCATGTGTGATGGCCAGAGCTAACGGGCAGAAGCCCACTGTGTCACCTCACACACAAACTCATATATAGGAGCTGTGAGTCGTGACCCTACCAATTATAAACTTGCTTCCCTAATTCCTCTATTAGCCACTGGTGCACGAAAGTAACATGAAAAAGGACGGTTTTGAGTTGCCAGCTGCCTTGTTTTGTTCCACTAGTGGTCAGTTTACAAGACGAATAGTGTAAATAAGTCATTTAAATATACATATCAAAAAGTCCATCTTTTCTCTGCTGCAGCATCACTTTTCTTCACGTTTGAGTCTTAATGTGTTTGAATCCGCTGGCTTTTAATGGATGCACGAAGTCAGCGACTGGTTGTATAAAATGCTTACACTTTAAAAAAAAAAAAAAACATTTTTATGGCATCGATGGTTCCATGGAACTTTTCCATTGTACAAAAGTTTCTTTATCAAGGAAAACGGTTCTTTAGATTATTAAAATGTTTTTTACACTAAGAAAAACAGAGGTTTGTTTAAAGCTATGGCTTTGCTGCAGAAAGCTTCTTTTGAAACCTTTATCGACTAGTCTTACAAGTAGCCTAAGTCATCTTAACAGCTGTATAGCGTTATACATTACTGAAGGCGTTTTGTTTGACATGCATGCAGGACGGTGTGTGTGTGTGTGTGTGTGTGTGTGGTTAGACAGCTTCCTCATTTGGATTTGGCATAAGTGTCATTTTTGTCGACCTTGCACCCATGTGTGATGGCCAGAGCTAACGGGCAGAAGCCCACTGTGTCACCTCACACACAAACTCATATATAGGAGCTGTGAGTCGTGACCCTACCAATTATAAACTTGCTTCCCTAATTCCTCTATTAGCCACTGGTGCACGAAAGTAACATGAAAAAGGACGGTTTTGAGTTGCCAGCTGCCTTGTTTTGTTCCACTAGTGGTCAGTTTACAAGACGAATAGTGTAAATAAGTCATTTAAATATACATATCAAAAAGTCCATCTTTTCTCTGCTGCAGCATCACTTTTCTTCACGTTTGAGTCTTAATGTGTTTGAATCCGCTGGCTTTTAATGGATGCACGAAGTCAGCGACTGGTTGTATAAAATGCTTACACTTTAAAAAAAAAAAAAAAACATTTTTATGGCATCGATGGTTCCATGGAACTTTTCCATTGTACAAAAGTTTTTTTATCAAGGAAAACGGTTCTTTAGATTATTAAAATGTTTTTTACACTAAGAAAAACAGAGGTTTGTTTAAAGCTATGGCTTTGCTGCAGAAAGCTTCTTTTGAAACCTTTATCGACTAGTCTTACAAGTAGCCTAAAGTCATCAAATTTTCTTATAAGACTGGACATTTGAAGTCACTTACATAAAAAATGGTCTGATTTGAATCTGAAAAGATTGATTAACCTTTCAGTAAGTGCTAGTTGGTCAGACTAGTTCTTAAGATGCAGACTAGTTTCCTTAAGTTCAAGAGCCGCAGGTTTAGAGAATCACATTAACTATTAACATCATCCACTAACTAATAGGGTTGCAAAAAGGTGGAAAATTTCCAGTAAATTTCGGAAACATTCCAGAAATTTTGGAAACTTTCCAGGATATTAAAATGTTTTTTACACTAAGAAAAACAGAGGTTTGTTTAAAGCTATGGCTTTGCTGCAGAAAGCTTCTTTTGAAACCTTTATCGACTAGTCTTACAAGTAGCCTAAGTCATCAAATTTTCTTATAAGACTGGACATTTGAAGTCACTTACATAAAAAATGGTCTGATTTGAATCTGAAAAGATTGATTAACCTTTCAGTAAGTGCTAGTTGGTCAGACTAGTTCTTAAGATGCAGACTAGTTTCCTTAAGTTCAAGAGCCGCAGGTTTAGAGAATCACATTAACTATTAACATCATCCACTAACTAATAGGGTTGCAAAAAGGTGGAAAATTTCCAGTAAATTTCGGAAACATTCCAGAAATTTTGGAAACTTTCCAGGATTTTTTTTTTGGGGGAATAATCCAGGGATTTTTTGGAAAGTTTCCGGAAATTTACCAGAAATTTTCCACCCCTTTGCAACCCTACTAACTAACCACAAACACAATACGGACTGTTTTCATCTTCAACATGGCATCTGTTGATTTAGCAGTTCAAATGTCTTTTTTGTCAAATGTTTCATTTGTAAGGTAAGGTGTGTTTGTGCATCAGTCTTTTCAATAAATGACACTTGCTTTAAAATCAAATATCTAATGCAATGACAGCCACACACTGGAAGTGTGACGTAAGCATCCATAGAGGTTTTGGGGTCCCTATAGAATGACACAATGTTGCACTGTCAAAAAATGTTGGAAAACACTGAGTGATGACATGCAAAATGTTGTAGATAACGCAGCCTTACATTATGTCTTCCTCTCTGTTCTTTAACAAAAATGTGTGCGTGTGTGTGTGTGTGTGTGTGCATATGCAGAACAGATGAGATTGTGATGAGAGAAAACACAATCGCAACAAACACAGAGAGATTTCTCTGGAACGTGGCGCGTTCATTGCTTGTTTCATGGCTCAACAGCATGTTTCTCAACTATTAAGTGTGTGTGTGTGTGTTTTGTATAATGTGGCAGATAGTGGACAGTGGCATAGTCCAGATAACAGGGAATGTTCTCAGAACTATGGCCATCATAAATCTCAAAGTTATGAAGAAATGTTCTTGAAGTAACATCAATAGAACGTTTGTTCAAATGATCTGCTTTTTAGTTATGTTCTCAAAGCATTAGCACAAAAACGTCATTTATACATCGTTTTTCTGAAACGTTTTAGGTGGACATTCACCTAACATTTTTCAAATGTTACTATTTGTTTCGGAATGTTCGAAAGTAACGTTCAAAAGTAACATTCTCATAATGTTTGTAAAATGATACAATGGAATGTTCCCTTAACATTCGCATGATCGATAAAAAAAGTTTTTAAAACATTTAAAAAAGGTTTTTAAAACGTTAGCGAAACGTTCTTAGAACATATGTTTGGTAGCTGGGCGACTGCATGCGTCCGAAAACATGAAGCGAAACATTTTCCCTCTTTTGTTTTGTCACTCAAGTCCGAGCGCTTTCATCTGACCAGCTACAGAAAACGCTTTGCAAAATGAGCATGAGATCCGCAGATGTTGTTCAGTCTGACAACATCATCCTCAGTAGCGAGAGGAATGTCTTCTCTACGGAGGAATACGGATATAGTGACGTGCTGCGTTATAAAACCCGCCGGTTCCAGGGTGGCGGCCGCATCACTCTCGTTTGTCACAACTCCAGCCAAGTTTGTGATTGGATGATATCAGATTTCAGAGTAAAGACATCTTAATGCATCCGTCATCCGATCTGAAACGTCACATCTTTGTTATCAGCGATTACGGATGGTCTTTGACCTTCGGTTTTGACGTAGTGCTGCAGTTACAGCTCATTTCCTTGCCTATTGTCTCTCTGCGTGTTTTCTCTCTCTCTCTCGAATTGCCTCTTTTGTGTTTTCTTTTTTCAAGTGCCAGTTTATTTAAACTCTTTTCCCTTTTTCTTCATTCGCCTTCATTGATTTTCAAACCCCAGCCTTTGTAGGCAGCTGGGGTCCAGCTGTGTGTCTGCGCGAGAAAACGGCAGACAGAGAGAGAGAGACTAAGAAAAAGTCGCTTGTCATTTTGGACAACAGAAGAGAACTGGGCAAGAAATCAGAGAGATCTGAGCGGAGCGAGAGCGAGACAGCGAGGAGTCCAGGCTCCATGGTTTATTAGTGGCACTCCCCAAACGAGAGAGCTGAGGCGTCAGACGCAGCAAGAAAGAGAACGAGGAGAAATAAAAGAAAGGG